GGTGGGGATGCTGGGACCTGCCCTGGGTGTTTCCCAAGGATGGGGACCCCCCGGCACCCCAAGGTGCTCACCGAGGGATGCGTTCCGGGGTGGGGGGGGTGTTTGTAGGTGGTACTTTGGGTGCTGGGGTCCTTCCCAAGCCAAGGGTGGGTGCTGGGCTTTATCCCGCTGTCCCACCACCCTCCCCGGCCTCAGGGGTCTCATAGCCACCTGGGTGCGGGGACGGTGGCGTGCCCCCCTCCCCGGACACCCACCCGGGGGTGTCCGGAATGAGCTGGGGGATGCTGGGGCCCTCGCCCTGTGCCAGCGCGGTGGCGGGGACACGTGGGTGACAGATGGCTCCGGCGGGACCGGGAGCGCCTTCACACGTGGCAGCCGAGGACGAGGGAAGGCGACGGCCTGGATCCATTCCGCCTCACCCGGGCCGTGCCACGTGCCGCGGTTGTCCCCCGGCGCCGGCGTGGACACGGGGTGCCGGCTCTCCCCACCCTGGGGGACACCGTGGGGTTGGGGATGAGTCCAGGCCAGCCTGGGGGGGGGAAGCAGGCACCCGTGGGTGCACCACGGCAGGGCTTGGGGTCGGTGCCGGTTCTGTGCCGGGATGAGCTGCCCGTGCGGGGACAGACGGGCGACGCAGGTCCTCCGAGAGCAGCCACCACGGTAGCACCGGGAAGGACCGGAGCCGCCCCAGAGCCAGCTGTGCGCCAGCTGTGCCCGGCACCACCGGCGCGGTGGCAGCTGCACGGGCACCCGCCGAGGCGGGTGTCACAGGGTCATGCGCCGTGTCCCAGCGGGGCCGTGCGCTGTCCCAGTACGGTTCCACCGCCTCCCTCCCTCCACTCAGTGCCACCGGGGATGACGCCATCCCAGCACCGGCGTGCCGGCGGCATCTTGTGCCGGGGTGGAGGTGGCGAGGCAGGAAGGTCCCAAGGGGTGAGACCGTGAGGACGTAGCTCTGTGTCCCTGTGTCCCCCTCGTACCCCGGGGCTGCCTCTGTCCTCCAAACCGCCTCGGCCCACCCCTGGGTGCCAGCGCTGGGGCTGCGGGAGGTCAACCCACGGGGACAGGGCCAGTTTGGTGGCCCCGTCCCTTCCCCGCAGCCCCACGCACCGGCTTTGGCACCACACGGGGCCCTAGTGGGGCAGTGGCCAGAGCCCCTTTGCTGGGCCTGGTGTTATTTGCAATTAAGCGGTTCGTTATTAGCAGCTGGCCCTGCTGAATATTCAGTGGTGGTTGTGCAGCCTGTTGAATATGCATGAGCTGGGGTTGCCAGGGTAGGGGCTGCGCCGGCCTGGCTGGGTCTTCCCTGCACCTGCTTCCCAGGGGGTGCTTTTTGGGGTGCCGGCGTGATGCTGGGGCTGAACCGGGGCCAATTTTGGGCAGGAATTATGTCCCCAGCCTGTCCAGAGTGTGGCCCTGCCACCGCCCTGCTCGTGTCCCCGAGCTGCAGGTGATGGGGCTGGTGTGGGACCCCAAACCGGCCTCCTCTTGTGGGTGTGCTCCCCATCCAGGGGGGTGACGGGGCAGGAGCGGGATGCGGGGACCCGGCTGCGGATGGCTGGGGTCCGGAGAGATCCAGGGGGGCCTCGGTGTTCACAGCCACATCCAGATTTCCCCCTTTCCCCCCTAAATGGCTTCTCTGCCCCCACCACCCCGGTGGGGTTGGGTTTTGGGGTGGGGTCGTGGCCCCACTGAGGTCCCACTGCATCTGCACCTTGTTCCCCAGCACCGTGCTCAGCCCCACCTAACGCGCCGGAGTTAACGAGCTGTTTGCAGGCAGATTTCTGGTCTGGGCTGGAAGGGAATGCTGCAATGGAGTAATGAAGAGGTGGGGAGGAGGTTTGGGGGTCTCCCCTGCCCCCCTGCACTGCCCTGGCTGTGCAAAGCCCCTCAGGTGAAGCTGCCCACCCGGTGTGCCCCGGCGTGCCGGTGACACGCTCGCCCCATGAGTGTCCCCACGGGAGAATGTGGCACACGGGGCTCGTGGCAGGTAGGAGATGGGGGGGTTTGGGGGGTTGGAAGCCCTGCCCTGTGACTGTGCCATCAACACCCCCCCAAAAATGCGTCCTCAATGTGGCAGCTGCGTTGCTGGGGGTCAGAGCGTGGGGACACCCACGTCACGGGTGACAGTCGCACCCAGCGTGGATCCCCCGTGGGGCCAGATCCCTACTTTGGGGATCCCTGGGCACTTGAGGGGGGTGTCTCAGAGGTGAGCACCCACCCTTCAGTCCCTGCCGGGGTCTTTCCCACCTGCCAGGGCCTTGTCCCTGGGGGCACAGGGACATTTGTCCCTGTGGGTTCTGCCCTGTCTCCTCCGCGGTGGCAGCCAAGCCGGTATCTGCGATGTAGAGCCCAAGAGCACCCCAAAACCCACGGCGTGGGGTGGGGGGGGGGGTGTTTGGGTGGTGGGGGGGGGTGGGGTTGGGCTTTCCCCGTGGTTGGCGGTGTGGGAGCCTGTGCTGTGCGTGTCCGTCCCCACGCGGTGGCACTGCGTGACTGTGACACGGGAGATAGAGGCAAAAACAGGGCCAGGGGGTCCCGCTGCACCCAGTGGGTCTGGTCCCTTGGCGGGTGTGGGGGGGTGTTCAGGGTGGGCACCCACCGGCAGAGCTGCTGAGAGGGTTTGGGGTGTCCGGGGG